TTCTCTCTCTCTCTCTCCCCCCTTTGCCAGAGGCCGGCCTCGGCGTCCCCCTCTCCTCGAGCTCACGGCAGGACGGACCCTCCGTCCCCCCGCAGCCGGGGGGGCCGACACGGTGCCCGCAGCCCCCGCTCGCCCACGCCGGAGCGGGCCAAGCATGGCCACCGGCATCGCTCCCGCAGCTCCTCGCCGCCACCTCGCCACCGTGGCCAGAGCAAGGGACGGCCACCGGCCCCCCGGGAGCCCCCACCGCCGCCCCTCAGCCCCGCCGGCTACAGCAGCGACTCGGAGGGCTCGGCGGGCTCCCAGCCCTACCACCCACCGCTCGGCCCCGACAGGAACCACGGCGCCCACGCCAAGAAGTAAGGGGGGGTCTCCGGGATGGAGTCATGCCATCCCCGCCAGGACATGGGAGCTGGTGGCTGATATTTGGGGTCACCAAAGTTTGGGCACCCCCAGTTCCATCTGGGCGAAGCTCTGGGGACCAAGCTGGGGATCAGGGTGGGGTTGGGATGGGGATGGGGATGAAGATGGGAATGAGGATGGGGATGAGGATGGAGATGGGAATGAGGATGGGGATGGGGGTGGAGAAGGGGATAGAGATGGAAATGAGGATGGGGATGGGGATAGAGATGGGGATGGAGATGGGAATGAGGATGGGGATGAAGAATAGGGATGGGGAAGAGATGGGGATAGAGATGGGAATGAGGATGGGGATGGGGATAGGGATGGAGATGGGGATGGGGATGGAGAATAGGGATGAGGATAGAGATGGGGATGAAGATGGGGATGAGGATGGAGATGAGGATGAAGATGGGGATGGGGATGGAGATGGGGATGGAGAATAGGGATGGGGATAGAGATGGGGATGAAGGTAGGGAAGATCCACAGTGGGTCAATGCCACCACACTGCACGAAGGGTCATTCCCTACAAGGGATTATCCCAGTGCGAAGGGCAGTGCCTGGATGGCTGTGTGGGATGGTAGGGTGCAGGATCCCAAGCGGGTGCACACCCCCTGCTTTATAATCAGTGATGCAGCCCGGCCAAAAATGGGGGTTGTGTAGGTGCATCCGTTGCTCCTCCATGGGAACCTTGGGGTCCCTGGCTCCTGCATGGACACCCTGCTGGCTGTGGCAGTCGAGATGTGAGGAGGTGCTGGGGTCTGCTTTCGCAGGGTGAAGGAGAGGCACCACCGGGGCCGGCCCAACAGCAGCTCGGAGTCGTCGGCCAAGCACTCCCGGCACGCCTCGGAGCGCAGGAAGAGCCCGTCGCCCAGCCCCGGCCAGCGCAGCACCTCCTGGAGCTCCAGTGGCTCCCTCTCCAAATCCCGCTCCCGCTCCCGGGAGAAGAGAGCAGGACGCAGCCGATCCCGCTCCCCATCTCCGAAAAAACCTGCCAGCAGGTCAGCTCCTCCCCCCACCCCGGGGGACTTCGGTGTGGGGGGCAGGGGTAGCAGTAATGGGCTCAGAGAGCATCCATGCCTCAGGGTGGTCCTGGCTCCCCCGGGGCTTGGGGAGGGGGTTACAGGTCATTGCTCATCCTGGTGGCACTAGAAGCTCCAGCCCCAGGTGGGGGTGTCACCTCAATGGGGAGTTGCTGTCCCTGCATCCCCCCTGGGACCCCAGTCCACATCCCTGACCCTCCTCCTCTTCCTCGTGGTGTAGAGAGAAGGACAATGAGCCCCGAACACGCCACGGTGACGCCGATCCCACCCGCACCCGGCGCCGCTCCAGGAGCTACTCCCCCATCAGGAAGAGGAGACGTGACTCCCCCAGCTTCATGGAGCCCAGGAGGATCACGAGGTGGGCCCTGGCACGTGGTGAAGCCTCTGCTGTGGTCACTGGCATGGCCCGGGACTGAGCTCTGCCACCAGCCCCGAAGGATGGGTGGGTGGATGGATGGATGGACAGGTGGGTGGGTGGATGGATGAATGGATGGACAGCTGGATAGGTGAAGGGATGGACAGACCTACAGGTAGGTGGGTGGATGGATGGATGGATGGATGGATGGATGGATGGATGGATGGATGGATTGCTAGATAGGTGAAGGGATGGACAGACCTACAGGTAGGTAGGTGGATGGATGGATGGATGGATGGATGGATGGATGGATGGATGGATGGATGGATGGATGGATGGATGGATGGGTGAAAGGATGGACAGACCTACAGATGGATGAATGGATGGATAAATGGATGAGCAGCTCTGCGGATGGGTAGATAACCCTGAGGATGACCAGCTGGGTGATTCATCTGGCCCAGACGGACAGATAACCAAACTGCCTCCAACATTACAACCTTCTGATCTCTTCCCATTTCGAGGCATGAAAATAGGAGTTCATTTTAATCTGCGTGTGCATATTCCAGCAAGGTGATCGGCCATGAGCGTGTCTCTCCCCTGCCCTCCAAAAGCTGGTTTCTCCTCCTTGAGATCCTATTGACTCAGGAGCTCGGGCTGTAAGACAGGCAATATTTAGTGCCAGACGAAACACTGTGCGCATATATAGCACCTCGTTAGCATGCAGCGCTGGCGGCGGAACCGGTGGCAAGCTGAGATTACCTCGTTCCTGACCTATTTGTCTCTCCTGCTATCAGCTGGGAGATCGGGGCTGTGGGGTGGGGGGGATGGATCTTCAGAAACCAGCTCTGGCTCGCTGTGGGGGGAGGTTGGAGATGCAAGGAGGGAGGACAGGAGAAATACTGCTCAGCCGGAGGGTTAGAGCTCCCTGCAGCCCTCCCCACTGGATGCCCTGTGAAGAACATGGGCTGGGAAAACAGCTCCCAGCCCAGAGGAAGGTTTTCCAGCCTGGGTAGCTCCGTCCCCCAGCTGGGTTTTGCCAGGATGTCCCCAGGAAGGTGGCAGGGCTCAGCTGGAGGACACAACCCACAGTTCCTGCAGGGACTGTCCCCTCATCCCTGTCACCCATCCCTGGGATGGATGGGGATGGCAGACCCAGCTCTGGCTGGGGTTCAGGAGGAGCAGAGCCATTTCTGTGATGCTTGGAGGATGCTGCGGGGAGGGGGCAGCCAGGGGAACACCCCCAGCCCCCCTCACCTGCCCCGTAGCCCAGCCAGAAGCCCCAGGGCTTTTCCTTGCCCTCCTGCCTGTCCCCGGTCCCCGTCACCCCCTGCCACCCCTGGGTCCGGCACCGCGTGGTCCTGCCTCAGTGATGCCAACTTCTCCTTTTCCATTTCATCCCAAGGTCCCTCTCGGAGAGCATCGCCGCCAGCCTGGCTCCCAGGGTAACCTTCCCCCTTCCTCCTCCTCCTCCTCCTCCTCTTCTTCCTCCTGGACCCCTCTATGTCACCTCCGGGCTGTGCCTGTGTCTCTCTTCAGTCCCACTAACACCGGGCCGGCAGAAGGGGACAAGGCACCTGCACTGGTTCCACATGTCCCCCGTGTCCCCCCATCCCCACGTCCCCATCCTCCCCACGTCCTTCCTCATCCTCAGGCGCCGGCAGGCCGCAGCTCGCCTCCTGCTAATCCCAAACCTCTCTTTTTTCAGCAGCTTTCAATCTTTGGCGTCCGGGAAAGACAAAAGCCACATTAACCTGCTCACTTTCTGCCCTCGCCACTGCCTAATCCAGGACTAACACCCCGGGGAGGGGCTGGGGGGGGGAGTCTGGGGAAGAGGAAGGGGCTGGAGGAGGCGGGAGGAAGGGGAGTGATGCTGAGTGGCCGCATCCTGACACCCCGCAGCCGGTCCGAACCCTGCAGGGATGCTCGGCCATGCCTGGGGAGCCCCTACTAGACTTCCCCCTTAAAAACTAAAGTCCTGACTCAGTTTCCCTTTTCCATTGGCAGCGCTCGCAAGCGTCCCATCCCTTACTACCGCCCCAGCCCTTCGTCCTCCAGCTCGCTGAGCACCTACTCCTACAGCCGCAGCCGCAGCCGCAGCTACGACAGCTACAGCACCAGCCGCAGCCGCAGCCGGACTCGCAG